TCACCGCCTCTGACGTCAAGGGGCCATGGAGTAATCGCGGTGTGTACGGATGGGATGGACTGTGCATGTACGACAACGGCCTGCTCATCGATGATGATGACACGATGTACGTCGTCTACGGCAACGGCCAAGTCAAAGTCTCCCAACTCAGCGCGGACGCCCTAAGCGTCGTCAAAACCCAACAAGTCCTGCAAGCCTCAGACGTCAACACCGAAACCGTCGAAGGGAACAGGATGTACAAAATCAACGGCACATACTACATCCTCAACGACCAGCCCGGCTCCACGACCTACATCTGGAAATCAAGCAGCCCCTGGGGTCCCTACCAGTCCAAAATCCTCGTGCAGAACGTCGCGCCGCCGCTGGCGGGCGGCAACTCCCCGCACCAGGGCAGCCTGATCAAGACGAAGGACGGGCAGTGGTACTACATGTCCTTCACGTGGGCGTACCCCGCCGGCCGCATGCCGGTGCTGGCGCCGATTACCTGGCGCGCGGACGGGTTCCCCGAGCTGGTGAAGGGCGCGAACGGCGGCTGGGGCGCGGAGTATCCGATGCCGCTGCCGGAGAAGGTGTTGTATAATTGGACGAGGACGTATACCTTTGAGAGCGAGCTGGGGCCGACGTGGGAGTGGAATCACAACCCGGACGTTGCGTCGTATGAAGTTAACAACGGGGTGACTCTGAAGACGGCCAGTGTGACGGAGGATCTGTACTCTGCAAGAAACACACTCACACACCGTATCCGCGGCGAATTCCCCAAGGGCACTGTCGCCATCGACTTCAGCAACATGGCTGACGGCGACCGCTTCGGGCTGGCGGCCTTCCGCGACCAGAGCGCATACATCGGCATCCACCGCGTCGGGGACACATACACCCTGAAAGCGGTGCAAGGCCTGATCATTGACGAGTGGTCCGGGGATCCGGTCTCGAACGGCACGGAGGTGGCGTCTGCGTCTGTGCCGAGCGGGGCGAGGAAGATCTGGTTCCGCGCGGAGCTGGATGCGCGGCCGACGGGGACGAGGGATGCGAACTTCTTTTACAGCTTTGATGGGGTGAGCTTCACGAAGTTGGGGGAGACATATGAGTTGTACAGCGGATGGGCGTTTTTCATTGCGTACAGGTTTGGTATCTTCAACTTTGCGACGAAGGCACTGGGAGGTTCGATCAAAGTTGAGTCGTTTACGGCGGCTTGAAATCTTTTTTCGAGGTGTACATAAAGCTCGTTCTTCCTTGTCCATATTTTACGTCCTGAGGAGCAAGAACGGTTCGGAATGTCTGCTAGTGAGACCAACATGAATCTCTCCATGATCGCCATCATGCTTCTCCAACCTTCAGGCTCCCACGCTCCTTCAACCCCTCCACAAACCTTACAATCCCATCGACCGCAAGCCTCGCAACCGTATCTCCCCCCTCCAACCTCGCATCAAATGAACACACCACCAGACTCGTCGGCTCCGTCCGCCTCGGAATGACCTCCATAACTTCCACCAAGTCTCCCTCATCCAGCCCCCCAGGCGACGGCCATTCATTCACCCTCCCCAACGACTCGTCCAACACATCCAAATCAAGATGCACATGCGTCCTCTTGAACCCTTTCCGGCCCAACATCCCGTCCAGCTCCCTCCCAAAGGCGACCTTCTTCTCGGCATCGCCCCAGATGACATCAACCCCCGCCTCCGTAACCGCTTTCCTTTGCGCGTCACTCACATCCCGCAACCCGCAGTACGCAACCCTCTCCAAACTCACAGGAACATGTCCCGGCACCGAGGCCATCAGCGCAGCCCAGCTGCGCCCGCACATCATCGACGCGGCCATCGCGTCAAGGTACCCGTTCACATTCGTATCGGGCGTATCCAGATCATCATGCGCATCGATCCACAACACATTCAAATCCGGCACGGAGGCGTGCAGCCCGGCTGCGACGGCGGCGCTGGCGTTGCAGTTCCCCGAAAGCACGAGCGGGAACGAGCGGCGCGAGGCAGCTGCGGCGACGGCGGTGGCGATGCGCCGCAGGACTTCGAAGGTGCGCCCGATCTCGCCCTCGAAGGCGTCCACGGGGCCGATGTTGGTGAAGGAGATGGGGGCGAGGGCCTCGAGTTTGGAGGCGAGGTTGTGGGAGAGGATGCGCAGGGGCCCGGAGCCGACGCGGTGGTCGTAGAGGCCGGTGTGGTAGGGGGCTATGATGATTGAGATGGAGATGTAGGACATGGTGCCGGTTGGGTGTTGATGGGCTTGGAGTGAGAGGACATGGCGGGATTGGCGTTGATATCAAAGCATTTAAGTCGATGAATTCTGAGTCTATGGAGTCTTGATATCAGGATAATGGTGATCCGGTGTTGCGGTGCGGTTCCACTCCATTATCGACCACTCCTTCCACGGAGTTTTGATGTCCGGGTACGTTTGTATGCACATGGACCGGGTCCACTCGAACGGTATGACTCGAGGCGGAATATATTTTGCAACTACAAATCACCCTCCTCAACCTACGTACGCCCAAGCGGATGTCTCCGTTTTGATGCTTCAGTTGTGGATTCACGCCGGCGTAGGGCCGACCAATGGGGTATTACAAATCGAACGACGTACGGAAACTCTTGCCGTCTTCGTAGATGCCTTCGCGTCTGTTTTGCTTCATTCGGCCAACATCCTCCTTACTCATTTTGGGCCAAAGATCAATATCACGGGGTTTGAGTTGATATCGCGGGATTTGAGCGTGTCTAACAAGCAACTGAAGACCACCGACACATCGCATCTTGCCTACGGGCTCGAAATGTTAGAGGGAGCATCACATGCCGTCAACCACTCCTCGCAGAATGCACTCGTCATGAAGAAGCAGACGCCAGAGGACATCAAACACCTCCAAAGAACGACAGCAACGACACCTCACAGACGGGGCAGAATTTCTGTCCCTGTCACTGCGGCCGTCAAGGCTGTCAGAAAAGCTTGATACCGGCGAGGGAAACCAACTCGGTGGGCTACATATCAGAGCGAGACGCCCGCAGCGTGCCCTACACGTTGTGCTATCGTCAAAGGGGAGTAGTATGGCATCTGAGATGAACCTCTTTCGGGACATGTTACCAAAAATACCACGATGCCCGGAAGCGTATCGGCAATTCGTCCATCGGTGATGGGAAAGTCAAAGCAGACTGCATACCACCGAGGCGACGAACTGGGCATTTCATAAACCCACGTTTCTGCGTACTTACCCCGCGATATCGTCGTGCAGTACGCAAGACGCACATCAAAAAAGAGCAACCATCTCGCCCGCGTGAGCAGCTCCAGCTCCGGATCCGGGGAGACGTAGCAGCCCGACATGCCTGTAATCTCGACCGTTTCTTCTTGAACAGGTAGCAAACACCCAGAAACTCATTTTTGACACAAAACATCTACCGTTCAGCCGATGTTCTCCAGGAACCGAGGCGGGCAAACGACGGGCGCGTGCGCATCCGAGAGCGCTGCAGCCTGCAGCTTCGAATCCAAACAACGGTTTGCCACGCTGTTTCCATTTTGCCCATGTGGGCTATTTACGGCAGGAAGTCAAACGGGGGTGCTAGCGAAACCTCCGCATGAAACTCTGTTTATGTGGTGACAGCTGGCGTTTTCTTTAAACGCCTTTCTTGCATTGGGGGTTAATTGCGCATCGAGAGCCAATTTGAGCTTGAAGTGCTTGCAACATGGGCCTAATATCCCAAGCTCATACATATCACGAAGGCAGGGCATAGCAGACATATCTGCTCATGTTTACGAACATCACGCAAGCGGGGAACCATGCCGCGGGACGGCGACCTCACGCAACGAGGGGACGGCGTCAGCTCCGAACCAATATGTGTGCAGTACAAGTTCTCGCGGACGGTGCCCACGGGCCAGGGCCTCACGACGCAGATCCGGCTGCTGAGCGTCTGCGACACGCTCCTCGCGACGGTCCACGGCGACCGGGACGTATTGATATGGAGCCTCGAGCGCAATCTGCCGCCGACGGTGATGGAGTTCGACGTCGTGCGGATGGACCGCATCACGGGGATCGCGTTCTCGCCGACAAGCAGCAGGGTGATTGCGCTGTCATTCCGTACGGGCGCGCGGCATGAGGTGTGGAGCCTGGACTGGGCGAGCCAGACGGCGGAGGCGGTGCTCGAGGCCGGCGCGGACGCGCACGAGGTGCAGTTTTCGCCGGACGGGCGGCTGCTAACCTGGATCGCGGGCGGGTGCATCGACGTGTGGGAGACGCTGATCAACACGCACGTGGTGACACTGCGCGAGGGCAGGAAGAAGACGGGCGGGCTGCCCGTGTGCAAGTTTGCGTTCACGCCGGACTCGAGCCGCATCGCGACGCTCGATCGCGCGGGGAGGATGACGACGTGGGATGTTGCAACCTGGGCGGACGTCAAGGAGTCGCGGGCGAAGACGGCATCGTGGGAGTCGGTCGGGCGCGAGGCGATGCAGCTCGTGGCGGACGGGAGGAGGGTGATGGCGGCGTGTCGGCAGACGGACGGGACGAGCCCATGGACGTGGCGGCTGACGACGTGGTGGCCGGAGAATGGGAGTCGCGCGGAGCTGGAGATGAACGGGTGCGCGTTCGCGTGTGTGCCGCGCAACGGGCGGTTCGTCGCGACGGTGCAGGCGGACGGCGGGCGGTTGAGGATGCGCGATGTCGGCAACGGGGTTTGTCTCGACCAGTCGACGCAGGGAATCGCAAAGACGGGCAAGACGCCGCTTGTCGTGGCCGCGGCGATTGCGGTCGGCGATCGGGTGATGGCAACGCAGATTGCGAACGGGCGGACGACGTTGTGGCAGCTGACGGCGGCGGCGGACGAATAATTAGAGCATAGACAGCCCTAACGGCGGGCGATGTGGTGTTTATCGTGAGTCGTGCCCTATGCAAGTAGGGTGAAGAAGATAAGAAGCCACGATAATGATAATGACGATACCGGTGATCTCATAGCAACTGCCCCTCGCTAGAGCGTGAGCTTCATACACGGCGTTTCCTGGCAAGGTTGCCATCAATCGGAAGGGTGGCCGAGTTGGTTATGGCGCCAGGTTAAGGTCAGCTTAACATCTGTTTCCTGGTGGGGCAACCCGCGCGAGTTCGAGTCTCGTCCCTTTCATCTTTTGCCTTTGGCGCATTGTGTCTTGTCACAATTCTTTGTCCTATTTTTGCCAATTGTGATGCCGCCCAGTCGGGTGATGCTCGCCGATGCGCTCTTTTCCCATGGATCGGGACTGTTCGCAGTGAAGGGACCGAGAGAGTGGACCATCGTCGAGGCCTTTCCAACGGTTCAAAGCGGAGCCTCTCGGATACGAAGGACCTGTGAGAAGTTTGCACTGGTGGGGCCGGGGCCGACAAAACCCCGCTGACCAACCAGGACCGTCCGTTTGGGTGCACAGACGACTGCGTGTCCCGACTCATTCCCGGATGTGGGTCCGGATCTCACCTGAAGGTCCTTGAAAGGCCCCTCATTCCCGTCGCCGTAGGGGTCCACTCACCACCTCAGGTCACCCACCTCGCTGAAGGCAACTGCTGCGGCCTCATTTTACAGTGGTTAATCGCTGCTGCTGCCGTCTTCTGATTGGCTGCCTTCTGACTGTTAGCCCGAGAGGCGCCCCACCCAGATGCTACACTCGCTGAAATTGTTGGAACGCGCCGTCATTTAAAAAACTGCAGCGCTGCAGCCTTAGCCTTTGGGGCGATGGGCCCTCCCTTTTACAGGGGGTCGCGAGCAGTCCAGCCGCTGCATAATAGCGCATTAGCAGGTGCAAGGTGCTGGGCCGAGGTGCAGAAATGTGCGGTATTTCGCGCATTCCGGGTCCTGGCACAGGCGGCTTGGGCCTGGAAACCCGCTGAAAATCAGAACAGGAGACCATCTGCCAGCTGGCGGCGACGTGGAGGACGAGAGACTTGGAAGTGACTTGCTTGGATGATGGATCATGTGTTGTTGGACGTTGACCGAACCCGCGCATCCTTGGCCTTGGATTGTCAGCGGCGGCGGTAAAGAAGCGGACTTGCTCTGCTCCGCAAATGCATTGTGTCCATGTCGTCTTTCTGTTTCGTAATCCGGTGTTGTTGGCCTGCTGCAGCATTGTAAAAAGGGTGCGCGTAAGGCGCCCTCTTGTCCGAGCCAAATTGCGCATCCAAGGAAGGGAACCCGGCCGTTGCTGGCCAGCTCTCCTGGCTTGACCTTGACTGCCGATCCGACTCGATCGGCGTTGGGTCTCCTGGCTGAGGGCGAGGCCACTGTTCCAGCTTCCGACATCCTCGACAGGACCAGCGGCGATGTGCATGGCCGAACCCACACGTGATCGGTAAAGCGGTGTTCTGTCCGAAAGCCAAAAGTCAGTCGAGTGCCGTGAGGTGAGCGACAAGCGACAGTGATTGTGCTGTTGCTGCTTGAGTAGACGTCCGCCTAGAGGCACGAGATTGTGACGGCCGACCTCTCTCCACTCCTCCTCGGCGGCAGCCAATGCTGCGGTACGTCTTTTGGCTGACCCGGGGCTGTCTGACGGCTCACTCCCCTCACGAACGCGAGATTATCTTATCATGGACGATAGATATCTGCTGCTTCGAGCCGCAGCCGGGCTGCAAGTGTCGGAAAGGGGAAATACCCCCTAGCTTTGGAGATAAGCCCGAGTCTGGGGTTCGGGTTCTGCACCCCCACGCGAGGCCCATTTCCGGCTCACCGAGTTGACAAGCGCGGTGCCATCCCCAGCAAACCGAACCGGGCCATCAGGTTTCTGTTCCGCGGTCGCCTAGCTCGTTTCCGAATCCCATTGACGCCGGGGATGCTCCTATCTTTGTCGTGGCGACAGCATGTCTTCTGATAGATGATAATTGACATTTAGCGACATGTCACGTCGGTGGCACGGCGTTGGTCTCCGTGTGCCGTCAGGATATCAGATAAACAGGCGAACGTAAGGCATCTGGGGTTTGGCGAACTCCCTTGCTTGATCGGGCGAGACAACGCGTGACCGGCGTAGTATTGGGCCTGCCGACCGACGACCAGCTGATGGCTTGTAGCATGCTTCCGGGGAAGTGCTTGGTCAGTATCATCGATAGGTCGGTATGTCGGTATTGATGCCGTGTTCTTCATCGACGGTCGATAGCAATCGTTTACTGATAACCAACCCTCGGTAATCGTTTTCCCTGACTGTTCCTTGCAGCTGTTGATATCTCGAGATGCCGAATTCTGTCCGCCGTGCCGCCCTGCGTCCAGATGCCGTTCGTTCCTAGCTCATCGTCCGAAACGCCTTGCAGATATCGATCCTGGTTCTAATAGCAGCACGGCTGGTGTATTTCGTCTTGGAGGAGGCGTATCTCGATCAATCGACAGCGATGTCGTGCAGGGCCGGCTGGTTCGACACTGCGGGCGTGTGTCTCGTTCTCGGTTCCATGTATCTCGTGGTTGGAGTCCATGTCGTATGCGGAGTTGTCAGCATCGGTGTTTCCCTTCCCCAGGTTTTGTCGATCTCGAAATATCCACGCAAAAGACAGAGTGCGGGGAGAACTAGAGAAGAACGCCGGGAAGACACTGCTGCTTAAGTAGCCTCGCATTCGATGCAGCAAGGGCGTCATTGTTGAAAGACCGAAGACAGCCAGCCTCGGAAAATGAGGCTTGCGGAAAGTGCGAAGGTGCGAAAGTGCGAAGGCGGAAGGAGCGATGATGGCGAAGCCTGCCCCCTTTGGCCAGTCAAGAGTCGTCGTTTGCCAGAGACGGAAGGAAGGCAGCGGCATGCGAGGCGCCTGCCCAAACTTATTGGCTGCTGCTGAATTTCAGATTAGATCGAGGAAAGAGCGACCCTGTTGACAGCTCCTGCCTCACAGCTCATGCCTCACGGGTTTCTCCAATGACCATGACCATGACCTTGCACCGCCCTTGCCCTTGCCTCTTTTCCCTTTCACCGCTCCAGGAGAGAGAAAGAGCCACTCGTCTTGCTTCTTCTATTCTGCATCTCCCTCACCACGTTGCATCCCGACCTCTCGTCCACAGCTGTCCCGTTCTTGGCGCCTCAACTTAACTCGAGGAACCGCAGCGGGGTGCATGCTCTTCTGCCCCTTGTACCTTGCTTCCTTTGCCTGTCGAGACGCTGCTGCACTGCACTGCGCTGCATCGTACCGGAGAATTTACACGCAGATCACTTCCACCTTGCAGTCGTACGGCCATGTCGACGGCCATGTCGACTGTCGTCAGGCTACAGACGCGGCTCAATCCATGGCTAGCCTCATCTCGACCGAGCACGCTAAGGCGTTTGACGTGGCGGAAGCGAAGGGAAGGGCCGCATCCTTGGACGCTGGCTGCGGGCGTCGACATGCATTCAGCAGCACGAGCAGCGGTTGGATAGGTTGGGTTGAGCCTTATTACCTGCTACCTTACCCTACCGATTACCCGGCTCTTTAAACTTTCACCTGTCAAACCGACCCTCGCACGTTGTTTCTGCAGAATCCCTTGCGTTGTCACAAACAAACAATGCCAGCCCGTGGCGTTCTAGACCACGTTCAACATTGTTGCCAAAACCAACAACACCTCGACTCCATCGCCAGCCTGTTCTCGGTCAGCTCGGTGAACACAGGCCCGTCTCCACTCGACCCCGGGCTTTCAGCTCGACGCCACACTCGCTTTCCATCACGATATCAACTGTTCAACCGTTTCCTCGTCATTCCATCGAACAACACCAAGACCGATACACCAATGCAAGGCTATCACCGCTTGCCTCCCACCATCTCAGCCTTTCCCCAGATTCGATACGTAGATACGTATCGTGAAGTCCGCCCCTCCTGTTCAGCCTGCCACAGGGTCTCAGGGTCTCAGGGTGCAATGGCGCCATCGGTGAGGCTCCCCGACGACCCAGGTGGGCGGGACAGTGACAGTGTGCTTGTCCTGTGCCTGTCGCGTGCGCTGCGATCGGGTGCCGTCCCCCGGCCTCTTCCTCCACCAAAGAGCCGGGTTTGGCGCAGCCGCTGCTCGACGGTGTGCGGCGTCCGGCGACGGTTTTGACTGCCATCTCGTCTCGTTTCCCCTTCCAGGTATCGACTCTTCTGCCCGCCTGCCAACGGCCAACATGAGCGGCCAGCAAGGCAGCCACCGACGTTTGTCACCGACAAGTATCTCTTCCGCGTTAAGCCGCCGAAAAGATACTCTTACGTACGACTCGACGCGGCACTACGCCCCCTGCGGCAGGTGGGCGGCCCATCACTGAGTATCCTCTCTGACATCAGCGTCTGTGAAGAACCACTCAGAACCACCTCCGAACGGGAGCTTGCAGGCCTCACGATCCTAGCGGGCTTGGTCGTGTCAGGGTGGTGTGCGCCGCTCCCCTGCTCGTGCAGAGATACAGCCCTGGAACATCCTTGAATATCCTCGTTCAAGCTGGGGAGCAAACGGGGGAGCCCTGGCGGCATGTCTCCATCCTGCTCCAGTCTCCTCCATCCTCCTCCATTTCTCTCCATTCCCTCTCCATTCAAGCGCGCCCCGTTTCTCTCTTCTTCAAACGCTCACTCGCCGGCGCTGTGACCGCCAACCGTGTCGTCCTCCAGACGCTCTCCACCGCCGTCAACTTCAAAACGGCAAGCCGGAAGATTGAGAGGCTCCACGACTCGTGTTTGACGAACCAACGGCTGCATAGCGTGGAGTGCCTGCTGCGTTAGTCGGGCAAACTGGACCACTATCTACGTCATAACGGGGGCAGGCCGCATTGTGCGCATTGAGTGTGGTCGAGGATGAGGACAGATGGAGAAATTGGAGACCTTGTTTTGCGGTCTCAGATGTCGACGATTTTTTTTCGAGTTTTTTTCGAGACCAGTGTCCGCCTCCCGCTCCCTGCCAAGCCTGCGTCTTCCCCTCAACAAACGTGGAGCGCAAGGCGCAAGTCCGTGGAGCTCTGGAGCCTCGTCCAACGCCTCGCGGCTTCACGGCTCGGGCTCGTCCATCTCGGCGCCGGCGGAAGAGGGGACGTTATGGGGAGACGTTTTGAGGGGAAAGAGAGTGCGCGACGACTGAGTAGGCGCAAAGGATTGCCAATTGAGTCCTGTGACTTGTCCAACCGTCGGAAGTACAGACAAACGCCCCCAAAAAACTCAATCCACCAGGGCGGGCCATTTACATGCAAGAGAAGC